TGCCAGAAACGGGAGGGGCTTGAGGGTGAACGAGAGAATGGGGGGGGTGGATAGACCCGTTAGAAGTGAAGAAAACTCGGTGTCATTAAAAATTCATGCTGTAGTCGGCTCTAATTGCCATATTATGAGACCCTGTCCTCCCTTTTAGAAAACCCACTTGTGACGTCCCTCACATTGAGTATTCGTAGCCAACAGGCTGTGCAGTAGACTCAGGAAAGGTATTCAAAAGGTCTCTAGGGTACAGGAGAAAAATAAGAGAACTTTTCTTCCCAGGGGCACCTGGGTGCCTCATTCGGTTAAGTGTCTGCCTTCGGCTCAGGTCATGATCTCGGGGTCCTGGGATCGAGCCCCGCATCGGGCTCCCTGCTCAGCGGGGAGTCTGCTTCTCGCTCTGCCTGCCGCTCCCCCTGCTTGTGCTCTCTTGCTCAAATAAATAAAATCTTAAAAAAAAAAAAAAAAAAAAGTATGATCCATGCAGTAACCCAGACCTGGATCTTCTCTCAGTGCAGTGAGATTCCAGCGTAAGCCCCTGGGGAGTGAATGTGCAGTCGCTTACCGTTATTCCCAGTCGTTCTATTCTCAGAGATTGCAGCCAACACAGAATTAGTGAATATTAAACCGTGGCTCCTAGAGGAAACACAGGGTTAGTTGCTTGAGAGCCTCTGCTTACCTTTTCATCAACTAATCAATAACAGACCCTGGTTTTATGTTTGTTTCTGCTTAAAGAAATCGTACTTAATAAATAGCACCGACTCGAGGACCGGGAACTCCCAGCCCCCAGCACCGTAACTTGTGCCTGAACGAAGCTTGTGGGACACACGCACGTTCCGCCATCAGGCATGTCACAGCTCTTCGAGCTCACGCACGGGAGGCAGCGCTTTGGCGCTGTGCTTGGAGCCCATCTCAGACCACGGAACCACCCACAAAGAGCACAGAAATGCGAGAACTGTGGCACTAAGTGGACCGTGGAAGGAACACTTGTTTTTTTTTTTTTTTTTTTTTTTTTTTAAAGATTTTATTTATTTATTTGACAGAGACAGAGACAGCAAGAGCAGGAACACAAGCAGGGGAAGTGGGAGAGGGAGAAGCAGGCTTCCCGCGGAGCGGGGAGCCCGATGTGGGACCCGATCCCAGGACCCCGGGATCATGACCTGAGCCGAAGGCAGATGCTTAACGACTGAGCCACCCAGGCACCCGGAACACTTGTTTACAGTAGGGGCTGGGGCAAGACGGCGGAGCGGCTACAGCCGGGAACGCGCACGGCGGGCAACTCGGCTCTTTGCCCTCTCAGTGTGGGTCCTCAGGCACGCTGCGGGTAGTGACACGGCTTTTCAAGTACATTGTAGCAAGTCGGCAAATTGACAGATACGGAATCTGCCAGTAATGAGGATCGACTGTACATGTTTTAGGTTAGATAAAATAGTTCACGGACGCGTGACTTCTTTTTAATGCGCGCCCCACTCGAGCCCTTTACCTGACTTTGACTGTGAGTCCCTCTGCTGCAGTCTTCACAGGGAAAGCTGAGCAGGGAGCCAGGGCCAGCCCCCGTGTACGATCGATCGCACACTCACTGACTCTTAACTAGCGCTCTCACAGGGTTGTTAGGATGAATGAGTTCAGGTATTTGTTGTGATATCACAGCATCCAGGACAGTGTCCGGCGCGGGTGAAGATGAATTTAAAACACTCTGCAAATGTTCTGCGCAAAATGTATGGAGTCGGTGCTCGCTCTTAATTTGGAAAGAGCAAGTGTGGACGTCAGGTGCAGAGTGCCCACGAGTGGCAGCCCTTGGCACCTGCCCTCGACTTTGTTACCTCCTCTTGTTCTCACCTTCCAGGAAAGGCACAGACCAGCTCCCGTTTCCCACGGCTTCCCAAGCCTCACTTGCTTCTGGCCAAGCCTGGACAGAGGGGAAGAGGCAGGGAGAGAGGAAATCAGAACCATCTCCAATTCACAAAGGGCTACGCCAGATGGAGGCCACAGGCTTGACCGCCCAGCCCGCCTAGTATGGCTCGCTCTGCCTGCACGTAAATCCCAGCTGTGGAGCTTTCCTGAGCCCTGGGCCCCGCGCCTCCCTCCCGCCCCAGCCCCTCCACCTTTTTCCCAGAGGCTCCAATTGTCCCATAGGTTTGCTGGGGAAATGGGCTCCTTCCCTTCACCCATGCCAGAGTGAGACTCAGTGTAAGTCTCTTCTGGGGTTTTTAATAAATCGAACCCCCCCCCCCACCTGCATCTGCCACAAATAGTGCTTTGGATGTTGTTGAAGCTCAGAAAAAGACGAAAAGTCAGCCCACTCTCATTAGCCATTTTTAATTAGGTGTTTCTCTCCCTCTTTTTTTTTTCTTTAGGTGGTTCTCTCTTTTACATGTATTAGGATCATGTTAAACATATGCACAAGTAGAGAGCACAGTGTGATGAACCCTCATGCACCCATCCCCCAGTTTCAGGAATTCCCAGCCCATGGTGTTTCATCTCTTCCCCCATCCCAGATAATTTGAAAACAAGTCCCAGGCATCATATTTCACTTACCAACATTTTATTATGTATCTGTAAAGGAAAGGGATTTACAAAAAAAAAAAAACACAACCAAAATATTACCACAACTTAAGTAGGTAACAGTGACTTCATACTATCACCCGATGTCTGGTCGGCATTAAATGCCCCAGTCCAGACATTTCTCTCCAGCTCAGGGGAGAGCTTCCAGCTGACCACTGGGGTGGTGACGACGAGGAGTGCGCAGTTGAACTTGAGTCTGGGGGGACTGGAGTCACCACGGTAGAAGAGGAAAGCGTTATTTCCAGGACGGCAGGACAGGACAGAGGTGCCGTGGGGCCCCAGGGGTCACAGCCCCTCCACATGTGCGGCGTGGCACACTGGAGCAGCTGCAGCCAGGCTGCTTCCTCGTGGCCTAGTCCTCTGGGTGCTTTGGCCAGGGTTCCCTGTGGTTGGGGGGGCCACCCTCCAGCCCCCCTGAACATGAGCCGTGTGCATGCGAGGGATTGCGGGGGGAGGGGGGCGGTGCAAGAAGTAGCGCTGTGTGGGCCCGCGGCCGTGAGCACTGTCAGCCCCTAAAGGCAGCCTGGGTTCTCTGTGACCCTGCCTTCCCTGGAGCCCTTGTCATGCTTGGTGAGCCGAAGCACCGTTCCCTCAGAGTTTTGTGTTTTGAGCGGCTCGCGGGAACCCGGTATTCCAAATTTAATGGAACAATGGCAGGAATCTCGATGGCGAAATGCGGCCGGGGTGGCCCTGGAGATAGGAGAGGTGGCCATACAGCAGGACCTCGCTTGCCGTGGCCTGCCACGGCGCGATAAGGACAGCAGAGTTGCACATACTTGGTACTTCTTTGTTTCAGCACGAGAGGAAAATGAGCTCAGCTGCCTCATGGGTGATTTATTATCTCTTTATTAACAGAGAAGAATTTCAGAGCTAAGAAAGTTTCCATTAAGGTGTGTGCAGTGTAAATCCCGGCAGGTCGCTCTGCCCCTCCGTGTCCCACGTTCCTTCCCTGTAGAGCACTACTAGCACCTGCTTTAGGGGTTTTGTGAGAAACAAATGCGTTTGTACATGCAAATACTTGGAAAGGTGCTAGGCCCACAGCCCTGTCTAATAGAACTTTCTGCGGTCATAGAAACCTAGAAACGTGTTAGATCTGCACTACCTGAGGCCGCTGTTGAAATGAGAATAATGTGACTGAGGAAATTTTAATTAATTTAAATAGCCACATGTGGCTCCCGTGGGTACTGTATCCAGTACAGGTCTAGGGGATATTGATAATACCGTAATGATCGGATGGTCGTTAGGATGGTTCTCATTGGAGACCCAGAAGGTGACACTGGTACAAAAGAGTGGAGGAAGCATCATAAAATGCATTTGGGGCACGTGTGTGGCTCAGTCACTTAAGCATCTGACTCTCGATTTCAGCTCAGGTCCTGATCTCAGGATTGTGAGATCGAGCCCCACGTCAGGCTCTGTGCTGGGCATGGAACCTGCTTAAGATTTTCTCTCTCTCCCTCTCCCTCCACCCCCCCCTTTCCCTCTCTCCCCCCCCCACTCCCCATCCTCCATCTGCTCCCCATCCTCCCTCTCACTCGCTCTCTCTCTGTCCCCCTCTAAAAAAGAATAAATAAATAATAATAAAATGCATTTGTTTCACATCTGTGTGGCCCAGGTGTGACACTTAAGGTGTAGGTCATCTCTGAGGTGGAGGGTGCTGATCTTTAGATGGACTGCATCCGTGGGAGTCTTTCAAGGAAAAGGTGACAGCGTCGTAACAGGTGTGGGCGGGAGGGCGAACGGGTTTCATGTTCTATCTTTCCTTCTGTACTGGCTGTATGACCTCGGCTATGTTGCGTAAGGTTTTTGAGCCTCGGTGTTTTTATCTGTAAGATGAAAGTCAGGATACCCACCCGCCTACTAGGGGCGTGCTCTGTGCCCCTGCAGGATGCCTTGCTCCTAGTCTAGGAGCCACGGTTGTTTTTCAGATAATGGATGGTAATAATATCAGAATTGAATACGTAGTCACTGTCGTGTGCTACTAATTCACTTGGAGAATTTGATTATCATTTCATCCTGATCATTTCATCCCCATTAGAGATCAGGGATGCTCTAGATTCTGTGTAAATATATGCTATTTGACTTTTAAACATTTATGATAATTAGAATCCATTGAGCCAAGGGTGGGAGCAAAACCTTTGAAATGATCACTGTATGCTGCATAATTCAGGTAAGACAAAGTAAGCCTGCAACCATGGCTTCAGGTTCCCGGCTAAACTTATTTGGACACACCTGTTCTGTCTGCAAAGATGAGGATACCCAGAAATTGGTAAAATACAACTTTTTTAAACAAAGAGTTTTCTTGGTGCTAACCACCAACAGAGTGGCTTCTTGATGTCCTATCATTTTTATTTCAGTTGAAGCAACAAAAAAATACAACGTGCTGCTGGACAAGTGGAAACTCTGACTTGGCTGTTCCCTTATATCCTGTCCCTTTTTCCTGCCAGATGTGACATTTGCTGCGTAACCTTTCGAACACATCGAGGATTGCTGCGCCACAACGCACTCGTCCACAAACAACTTCCCAGGGACTCCATGGGAAGGCCTTTCATTCAGAACAACCCTTCCATCCCTGCTGGCTTCCATGACTTAGGATTCACTGACTTCTCCTGTAGGAAGTTTCCTCGAATTTCTCAGGTATTTTGCTCAGCCTGTGGACCCAGCAGCCACCTCCACGGGCCACATCATTGGACTAGACCCCCTCACCCTGAGGCTTCCCTTCCTTAAAATGTTGTCAGTTGGGTTTTGTCTTTTTTTTAATCACAGCCTTTTCTCTTGAAATTCAGCTTGATCTTTTCAATCTTCATTGGGTCATTAAGCTGAGAGGAATAGGTGGGCTTTTATTTTGTGTTGAATTTCTTATTAACATGAGTATGTGTCTAGCTTACCTGTGCTTTTTGCCCATTCTTGGGGCATTTGGATTTAAGGTTGTGAATTGCTCACCACCCCTACTCCAGCCCTATCTGAATTGAATTTGTATTTTTTTTTTAATATTTCTTTAATATTCATATTACAGGTAAATATTTTCCAATGTTGTAGTTTCTATTAAAAATGTTTGGGGTCATTACTAACCTGAACCATATTTGTTCTCTGCCTATAAAACACGTGCCAAAACTATTTGAAACTATTTTTTTAAAAAAAATTGAGATAGAGGATATCAACAGGGAAACTCTTGAGGCACAGAATCCTGAAGTTCAATGAATTATTCCATATGTATACACACACATATGTATATACCCACATGTATGCACTCACATAACCCTCCCCCCAGGTGGCGCTGCCTCACGCCCCTTCCCAGGCAATGCCCTTTCTCCCACAATCACGAAGGTAGCCAGTTCTCCACTGGTGGTAGGAAGTCCCCAGCCCATTAGTTTTCCAGGACACCATTTTTAAAAAGAGAATTAATCCTATCTTTGTGCTGTTGTTACTTAACCATATTTCATTGCTTCTTGGAGATACCCTAGGGATTGATGTCATTCATCAAGCAAGATGACACTTGAGATGCTTTCGGGGGTTTTCCTGATTCAGTCCGGAACAGGAATTAGCAAGCAGGGGGGAGGCCAAGGCTGGGGACTGGGGCAGCTTATACAACAGATACTTTCTGCATCTCAGGGTAGTGATTATTTTTAAATCCTCTTTATTCCCTTGCTCTTGCCAACCCGGCTTCCATGCAGGCCTGGTGTGAGACAAACCTACGAAGGTGCATCAGTGAGCAGCACCGTTTCGTCTGCGATACATGTGACAAGGCGTTCCCCATGCTCTCCTCGCTCGCCCTGCACAGGCAGACCCACGTCGCCACAGACCAGGGACGGGAAAGGCTGCAGGCCAAGACCCTGCCCGGGGACGCCCTGGACCAGAAGGTCTTCCTGGCCTTGCTGGGCCTGCAGCACACCAAAGACGCCAGGCCTGCCCCCACCGAGGAGCCCTTGCCGGATGACAACCAAGCAATACAGCTCCAGACACTCAAGTGTCAGCTACCTCAGGACCCCGGCTGCACCAACATGCTGAGTCTGTCTCCTTTCGAAGCTGCTTCCTTGGGCGGCTCTCTCACGGTCCTCCCGGCTACCAAGGACAGCATGAAGCACCTATCCCTGCAGCCCTTCCAGAAGGGCTTCATCATCCAGCCCGACAGTAGTATTGTGGTCAAGCCCATCTCTGGCGAGTCGGCCATCGAGCTGGCCGACATCCAGCAGATTCTGAAGATGGCAGCCTCCGCCCCGCCTCAGATCAGTCTTCCGCCTCTCTCCAAGGCCCCTGCTGCCCCTCTGCAGGCCATCTTCAAACATATGCCCCCTCTGAAGCCAAAGCCCCTGGTCACCCCGCGGACGGTGGTGGCCACGTCCACGCCCCCGCCTCTCCTAAATGCCCAACAGGCCTCCCCGGGCTGCATCAGCCCCAGCCTCCCCCCACCGCCCCTGAAGCTCCTCAAAGGCCCCATGGAGGCAGCCTCCAGTGCCCACCTGCTGCCGTCCCCAGCCGGAGCCCAGCCAGACACTGCCACGCAGCTCTTCCTGCAGCAGCCGCGGGTGGACCTGCCGGGCCAGGCGGAGATGAAGACGCAGCTGGAGCAAGACAGCATCATCGAGGCCCTGCTGCCCCTGAGCATGGAGGCCAAGATCAAGCAGGAGATAACGGAGGGGGACCTCAAGGCCATCATGACCGGGCCCGGCGGCAAGAAGACGCCAGCCATGCGCAAGGTGCTCTACCCCTGCCGCTTTTGCAACCAGGTGTTCGCCTTCTCCGGAGTGCTGCGCGCCCACGTGCGCTCCCACCTGGGCATCTCGCCCTACCAGTGCAACATCTGCGACTACATCGCCGCCGACAAGGCCGCGCTCATCCGCCACCTGCGCACGCACAGCGGCGAGCGGCCCTACATCTGCAAGATCTGCCACTACCCCTTCACCGTCAAGGCCAACTGCGAGCGGCACCTGCGCAAGAAGCACCTCAAGGCCACCCGCAAGGACATCGAGAAGAACATCGAGTACGTGACCAGCAGTGCTGCCGAGATGGTGGACGCCTTCTGTTCCCCGGACACGGTGTGCCGGCTGTGCGGCGAGGACCTGAAGCACTACCGCGCGCTGCGCATCCACATGCGCACGCACTGCGGCCGCGGCCTGGGCGGCTGCCCCAAGGGCCGCAAGCCCTTCGAGTGCAAGGAGTGCAGCGCCGCCTTCTCGGCCAAGCGCAACTGCATCCACCACATCCTGAAGCAGCACCTGCACGTGCCCGAGCACGACATCGAGAGCTACGTCCTGGCGGCCGACGGCCTGAGCCCCGCCGACGCGGCTGCCGAGGCTTCGGGGAGGATCGAGGACGGTGGCGGGACCTTCGGCGAACGTAAACCCTTGACCCCTTTCCTGGAGCCGCAGAACGGCTTTCTTCACGGGGCTCCCCCCCAGCCTCTGCCTCCCCACGTCTCCGTCAAGTTGGAGCCCGCCAGCAACTTCACGGTGGACTTCAACGAGCCCCTGGACTTTTCCCAGAAGGGCCTGGCCCTGGTCCAGGTGAAGCAGGAGAATGTCCCCTCCTTCCTGAGCCCCTCCTCCTCGGCACCCTATGACTGCTCCATGGAGCCCATTGACCTGTCCATCCCCAAGAACTTCAGGAAAGGAGACAAAGACGCGACTGCTCCCGGCGAAGCCAAGAAGCCTGAGCAGGAACCAGGGAGAGGTGAGCAGCCCTCTCCCTGTCCTCTGCCGTGCCCTACCCTGCCAGTGACCTTGGGGCCCAGCGGGATCCTGGAAAAACCCGGGGCCTCCGCAGCCACCACTCTGGAAGCCCACGCTCAGCCCCTGCAGGGCTCTGTTCAGCTTGCTGTCCCCATCTACTCGTCAGCTCTGGTCAACAGCTCCCCCATCTTGGGCAATTCCACCCTCATCAGCAGCCCAGCGGTGTTGCGGCCGCTGCGCCCCAAGCCCCCGCTGCTCTTGCCAAAGCCCCCCGTGACAGAAGAGCTGCCCCCACTGGCCTCCATCGCCCAGATCATCTCATCCGTGTCCTCGGCCCCCACCTTGCTGAAAGCTAAGGTGGCCGACCCGGGGCCCACAAGCACTGGCAGTAACAGCACAGCTCCAGACAGCTTAGGAAGCGCGGTCCCCAGGGCTGCCGCCGCCCCTGCCAACACCACCAGCCCAAAAGAATCCAGCGACCCATCCCCTCCTGCCAACAGTCCAGAGGCAGCCTCACCCACCGAGCAGGGACCAGTGAGCTTGTCCAAGAAGAGGGGTCGGAAAAAGGGCATGAGGAGCCGGCCCCGCTCCAGCAGCGGTGGGGTGGACCTGGACTCCAGTGGGGAGTTTGCCAGCATCGAGAAGATGCTCGCCACGACGGACACCAACAAGTTCAGTCCGTTTCTACAGACCACAGAGGATGATGCTCAGGATGAAGTGGCCGGAGCCCCTGCGGACCCCCACGGGCCCAGTGACGAAGAGCAGGGCAGCCCTCCCGAAGACAAGCTGCTGAGGGCCAAGCGGAACTCCTACGCCAACTGCCTGCAGAAGATCAACTGTCCCCACTGCCCCCGGGTCTTCCCCTGGGCCAGCTCCCTCCAGAGGCACATGCTCACACACACTGGTAAGAGGGCCCGCCATGCTAGGAGTGCTACTTCCCGGAGGGGAGGCTGTGGCCTGTCTGGCCCGGGGAGGGGCGGGGAGCGGGACGGGGAGCAGGCTCGGAAGCGTAGAACCCTTTCCCCACGACCCCACTTTCAGCTTCTCCCTCAGTCTCAGAAGCAGGGGGCTTGCCTGGTGGGGCCGAGAGTTCTTCCCTGTGCACCCTTGTCACCAAAATCACCTGTTCCGCTGTCTGGGCCCCCGAAGGGCTGCTGGTGAAGGCAGGTGTTACATGTAGGTGTTTAGGGGTGCGAAGGGTCCTGGGCCCGTTGGATCACGGACTTTCATCCACCTCATCCCTTCAGCAGGATATAGCAAGATTACCTGGTGACCCACAGGGGGCAGTGAGGGAAAAGTAGAAGTTGGTATTAAGGGATCAGCCACAGTGGACTTGCTGCTTTGGCAGGAGAAACTGCATCCCCGATTCTGCAGAGCAGCTTTTAATATGTTGAATGTTCCGTGAAGTTCTTTTGACTCCATATATTCTTAAAGGGAATATTGCAAATTTCACAGTTCTTTTTCATTTTGCTAAGGCAATCCCAGCTTCCCGATTATGGGGAAAATCAGTGACAAATAGTGGGTAGAATTTTTTTTTTTTAATTTATTTATACTAAAATCAACAGCTGTTCCGGAGAAACACCCAGATATAATCATGTTCTAAGTCCAATGTTTGGACTTAAATTGCCAGAAAGATAGCCCCGAGTATTTTTCAAGTGTTAGTTTCTACATGTTGATTTTTAAAGAGAAGTTGAAGAGGGTACATTTTAAGTAATTTTATACCAGGTACTTTGCATAATCACATGACCATACACTCTCCTCTTAATTCTAATTTACTGAATATTTATACAGGGTTTATATCATTGAACTGAGGGTAAGAGAGCCTTAGCCTTTTGGAGATTACCACCCAAATACTAATGGGTAGGACCTAAAACCCAATAGAGAATTGTATGATACAGGATTGCCAGATAAAATCCTGGATGCTAGTTAAATTTAAATTTCAGATAAAAAGCAAATAATTTTTAGTGTAGGTATTTTTCCATGCAGTAGTGGGGATAGACTAATACTGAATTGTCATTTATTTATCTGAAATTCAGACTGAAGTGTTTTTAATTGCTAAATCTGGCTTACAAGGCTTAGGACTGGCGAGGGGGAGGTCCTGGGAATGAGGTGTGAGCCACGCTCTGTACCCAGGTGGAAAGGCTTCATTCGGAAGGGGTGATCATCACAGAAGCTTCCAAGAGCCCATGGCAGGCTGTTTCTACTAGTGAGGGAGGTTGGTCGCCGAGCAGTCCCTGGGAAATGGGGAGGGGAGAGCAAGTGGGCCGGGGTGGGGGAGGCTCTCCCTGGGCTGGTGGGGCCTCGAATCCAGGACTCAGGTGGCAGCAAGCCAGGAGCGCCTGTCCACAAAGGACTTCACTACTGAACAGAATTTCTAGATTTGTGAAGTATATGCTACATTTTCACACTGTCCTTTTCATTTGAAATCCTGTAAGCCTGACAAAGTAGTCACAGTTCTCTGAAGAAAGCAGTTCAGAAAAGAAAATGCATCGTAAACAGGAGGTGCCCCGCACAGCAGGCTCTTGCTACCCTTTTTGGGGGGGCACTTGTTTGTCAGCTGCAGAGCCCTTGGAGAAGTGAGTACTTCTGTTACCACTTTCCAGAAAGCAGATGGCTGGATCTGACGAGGAGCATGGCTCTCGCCATGCCCTACCCTCTGCACGCCCCTGACGCCGCCCCCACCACCCTCCCCGCAGCTGGGAGTCCTGTGCTTAGTAAGAGCGTGCACATGGTCCGAGGGTGAGGCCAGTTACTCCCGGACTTTCTCTTCCTAGCAAACCACCAGTCTCCCTAGGAGGACCGGAGTGGCTGGTATTTCCTTTCCAGGGTTGTGCCCATGTCTTGCACGTGCCTGCCAGAAGTTCCCACTTGTGAATGCATCCTTTCAGTCGCCTGGCTTTTGAATGCCAAAATGTCCTAGTCAGTTTAAAGTCTCGTAGCTTCTGAAACCAGGCGAGGAAAATGGGGGAGGTCTGTTGAAGATGGAGTAGGGCAGGGTGGGCGTAAATATCAACATGTTCTGCCCCTTCTCCCTAAGCCATTCCCAGACCCTGGGTGGCTGTGTCTGCTGCAGCCCCGTCCATGACACCCTGTGCGACCGTGTTCTCACTGCCGTGCCCTCCTGCTGAGGGTTGCCGGCCTCGACTTGAGGGGAGCACTCAGGGTTGGTGGAGAGACCTTCCAGAGCTAGTCTTCATGACTGTTCCATGAGGGCGATGTTGTTCACATCTTGAAGCAAGGAAATGAGTAACAGCCAGTAGTCCTGGGGGTGGGTCATGAGTTGGTTGAGCCTGAGTTCAGAGCCGGGGTCACGTTCGCTGCGGCTGCCCCACGGTCAGGGTGTGTGGCTGCTTCTGTGCTGACACGTAGAGAGTGTGTGCCTGCCCCTGCCATCTTGACATGTCCTGCCATGTTCCGGTGCAGAGGACTGGCGAGGGGTTGGAGAGGAGGGGGACGCAGATACGGACCCGAATCCTAGTAATCAGCCCTAAGGGCCGTGGGACGGTACTAGCCACACGCGTAGGCGCTGTATAAGCTGGTGCCCCCTGGGCTTTGTGAGCTCCTTGCCTTTGCCGTCCTTCTGCTTCAGCTCGCAGGGACAGTCTCAGCCTCACCTCTGGTGCATAGTTTCATAGAGCACTTGGCTGCGCCTGGTGCCGTGTTAGGACATTTTCCATTCATCGCGTATCCCAGCTGGACGGAGCCTGGGAAACCATCTGACCCACCCGCTCTTCCCACAGACTGGTGTTTTCCTGGTAGACACTCTGCTGTTGAAGAATCCCCCAGCTGTGTTTGGTTGCCTGGCTTTCTGGGACATGCTCCCTCCAGAAACCTTGGAATAAGACGGAGTTAAACACGCCTCTGAAACAGCCCCATAAAGAAAAAGCATTCTACAGAAAAGAGGCTTTCTTTTTTTTTCTCTTTTGGGGGGCTGGGGGCAGTAGTGTTAAACTCTAGCTGTGTTCCAGCCCAAAGCTTCGAGCGGTGTCCACGTTTAGATCACCGTTAGGCAAACCGCATCTGTGTCTCAAGAGTCCGCCTCCTCCTGACCTCTTAGCAAATGCACAGAGGGATCGTAACATCCGTACGTGGTCTCCTGGAGGGGCAGCATTAGGGAGACCGGTGGGGCTTGCTGCGGCCGAGGGCCCGGTGGCTCAGGTTCTCGGGATCGCGGCTCAGGAGGAAGCCGGCGTCTGCCATCCTATTTCATCTTCCCTGGTGAGCTCTCTGTGCACGGCTGAGCTCCCTCCTTGCACTCTCCTCCTAGCCTGTGTCCTGGGGAGCAGGGACGGTTCCTGGTTCCTTGGCTCCTTGGCTCCTCTGCCTGAGTAGTGTTGCCCCTTTGGGAGAGGACAGTCCACTGTCCCTCCCTTTTCCCCCTCATTTAGGCCACAAGCCTGAGGCCACAAGAGAATACAGAAAATGCAGTCAGCCCATGTTTGCTCCTCCTCACCTTCCTCCTCCAATGAACAGGTCAGGACCCTGGGATGGCTGAGCCTCCCACCTTCCCCGCCCCCAGCTCTGACACTTTGGGATTCTCCCAGTTGGTTTTAGTGCCTGTTCTCTGCGAGGCTGAGGTCCTCTGCACTCGGCCTGTCCCACCTGCTGCTCACAAGCAGCCTGCGTGAGTTGAAATCGGTACGATGTGCAGGCCTCCGTGTGGAAAGTGCTCTGGACGCCAGTGCTGGTTGGCTCCTGCCTTTCTGAAGGGGCAGCCTTGGCCATCTTCACTCAGCCAGCCCTGTGTGCACCTCTGTCACCAGCAGAGAGCAGGAAGCCGTCTGTGGGTGGGGAGCCGAGTGATCCCACTTACTCTTGCTGTTCAGTCTTCTCCCGATGGTCCCAGTGCCTGCCAGATAGCGTCACGTAGTATAGGGTTTCTCTCTTTTCCTGCCTGCTTCTGGGAGGGAAACTGACTGGCTGATGGTTTTCACTGCTCCTGTTGGAGGTGGAGGGAGGTCGTCTTTGGTGCAAAGGGCGCTCCTTGTGGCTACAGGTACATTTAGAAACACCCCCGCCAGAGCCGTGGCTTGTGGCAGTCACCCAAACAAATGAAACCATGTGATACTTTCCCTGTAGATTACCAGTCGACAAGTTTTGGGGAAACCCGTCTGATGAAAAAAATATTGGAGGGGCTCATGTTTTTCTGGATCCATGCACTCCAGAGAGCACACCGCTCTTCACAACATAAGATTTGTTTGTCAGACGGCAGTCAAAATAAATGAGTGAGTGAATGAATGCGTAAGGCTTTCGCAGTGAGAGGGGGAACTTTGAGAGGTTCCTGTTGTCACTTTGAGAACCTTCTGACATCATTGGGTCATCTGAATTTAGCACAAGAATCTGAATCTTCATTGTGGGGCGTGAGCCTGGCTGTCCAAACCCAGCTGTAAAATCACAGAGTGAACCATGTAATGGGAAGAAGTAAGGAACTGGTGGTTTTATTTAAAATCAAGACTCCTACAGTTCCTCATCATTCCAGCTTCTGACTGGTTTCACTCCCAGCTGGGTCTCTCCCTCTCAGTCTGGCCTGACTCAGAGACGCTATGATATTTGATCTTGGACGATAAGATGTTATTTTTCATACTTAAAATAAAGACCGAATAATTTTATGAAAGATTGTTCAATTTTTAGTGAAAAGCAAGAATAATTTGAAGCGTATGCCAAAAACAAAACAAAAGAAGCACAACCAGTCTTCATGCAAAAGCGTGATTTTTTTTTTTTTTTTATGTCATTTGTATAACTTAGGAGAAAACACTCCCTGAGCTTTGTGGAGGGAAACTTGAAAGGAGTCAGTGGGTTCTGCTCTGCACTTGATCCTGTAGGCCCCATGTGGGGCTCCTTAAGAGCACACACGCAGGGCTTCTGGATATCTCGTTCCATGGTCTTTGCTGGTTCCTGGCATCTGTATTCTTAGAAAGTTCCACCGCTGATGTCGAAGCATCACCTGAAAGGGTCCTGCAGCTCAGTAGGGAAGGGATGGCCCCTCGCTTTGATGGCTGCTGATGCTGGAACTCAGTGGGGCAGTGATGCTGGTGGTGCTGGGCTGTGCCCCAGCGTGCTTGGTGTGAATGGCACCCCCTGGAGTTGTGTGGTGCACGGTGTTCCTGCTCCCTTCTCCTTGTGCTGAGCCCCACCCCCTCCGGGCACCTGGCCCAGGGGTTCCGCTCGCAGTGAGTGCCTGGGCTGGTCACCTGCACGAGATCGGGCATCCGTGGGTCGTCCCCCCCCCCCAGGCTGAAGGGCCCCCGGGGTTGGTGTTCCGAGGGGGTTGTGCTGGTTGACTTTGCAGCCAGTTCCTGACACGGGCGTTTGATTGTGGCCGTCCCAAGGTTACAAGGCCAGGCTGCAGCTCGGCCGTTGTGTTTGTTAGTACACAAAGTCTGTGACCCTGTAAAACCAGAAACCGGGACCTTATAGCACTCGGGGGAAAACAGAAGAACCCAGTGATGGAGTAAATGATTTACTGCCACCTTCTCTCTCCAGAACTTCAGCTCACCTGATCCCTTCTCTTGGCCCCCCCCTTTTCCTCCTCCCTCCCTCCTCGCCCTGGCTTTCCCTGCACCTCCAGCTATGCAAACACAGGACAAGTTACAGGGGAGCCTAGTCTGCGTTTTGACATACTGTCTTTATGGAAAAAAAGATCAAAATGGAAGGTTAAGACAGGGCAACGCAGAGCAGAGAACTCCTCTCTCAGGAGTTACCCCATGGTGGAGTGGGGTGGAGGTAAGGCCTGCTCAGCCACTTCTTTCCACAGGCAGGTCTGGGGCCCAGAGCACCTGATCCCCAACAGACTCGGTCCTGTGTGGGTCACTACGTACTACTAGCAAGGGCATAGAGCAAGGGGAACAAAGAACCTTTAATGCAAGGAGCAGGCCGCCTCCGTCTCGCCCGCTAGGACCACAGTGAGCGCGGGCAGAGGTCACTGTAGGACTGTCAACGGGTCGGACAGGAGGCGCGTTTCCCTGCTTCGGGTCCACTGTGGGCCAGGGAGAGGGGAACGGCTCCCGGGGATGTCCCGGGCTTCCAGATGCTGGTTTGATTTCCTGGCGTCGGAAGTCCTTGCCATGCCAGAAATGACCAAGAGGTGGCTTCTCTGTGACAGACTGTAGGTGTTTCCTTGCTGTGCTCCAAAATCCCTTTACTCGCTCTTTTTTTGTTACTGTTATTAAGATTTTTAATTGTAATACTGTTGTTTTAAACGTCTTGGTTTCATTGTTAACTTTTAGCATTTTGAAGACAAAACCTTCATCCCACTTCACTCAGGATAAGGGAAGATATCATTTGAGTTGTTGATGTTACCGGTATTTTTTTTAATGTGTGTGTGTGTGTGTGTGTGTGTTTTAAAGGAAGGGGTGGGGAAGCAAATGCCAATTATCCCAGGAGAATGAATGGAAAGCGACTTTTTCTTTTTCATTGCAGTAGAAAGCCAGATAAATATATATTTTTTTTCCTGCTTCAGGTCAGAAACCCTTCCCTTGTCAAAAATGCGATGCCTTCTTTTCTACCAAATCTAACTGTGAACGCCACCAGTTGCGCAAACATGGAGTTACCAACTGTTCCCTGAGAAGAAACGGGCTTATCCCCCAGTCAAAAGAGAGTGATGTTGGACCCCATGATAGCACAGGTAGTGTGCTTCCGGGTGACGGAGAGGAGGAGAGGGACAGAGGAGGGCAACTCCGAGAGAGAGCTCTGCTAGCGTGGTAGCAAACCCCAGCCATGTGTGCAAGCGCGGCCAGCTGCCTCTCCCATTTCTCTGTCGGACTCTGCAGGCAGTCCGTAGAAGTGGGCCCTGCCGAGGACCGGGAGCATGCATGCAGCAGGATGGGGCCTGGGGAAACACCGACAGTGTTCCTAGATTGCTTTCCTGAGCCGCTAGGGCAGATCTGGGGCCCTCCCAGCAGACCCCTGTTCGTGCTGCGGGGGCCCTTCTGGAGGTGGGAGATGCGGTTGGGGGTGCAGCTCCAGCTCTCAGTAGGATCACATCTAAAAAGGATATGAAACCCCACTGGCTTGGGGTGTTGTTTTCTCAAAGCCCAGCCTCTGCAGCATCCTACAGAGCAGGGATGGGCTCCCTCCGATGTCAGGGTATTTCAGGAAGTACTGATGCCCAGCCCTCCACAGGGGAGGGGTGTGTGGGGAGGGGGTGTTTTTCCCTTCAGTAACTCTCTTCCCAGTAAAAAACCTCGTCTTGTTTGAAAAAGCACTCTGCATGTCCTTTCTTTAATCACATCTCTGCTTGACCTGAATCCGGGTATTATTCTCATGTGCTGATATGCGCTTCCTTCCTCCAGCCCCTACAGAGCAATTAACGGCTGCTCAGTGCGTCTCCTGCCACCTTTTTTTTCCCCCCTTACAGCTTCTGTATTCACTCCTGTCCTCTATTCAGTACATCCCGGCATCTCCCAAGTGCTGGGGTTCTGTGCTTCCCACTCCGCCCCCCCCAAACAGATCAGAAAATTGGCTGCTGCAAGTTACCTACATACATGACTAGTTAGTTGGCCATGGGTTAGTAACAGGTGTGGATTCAGTCCCGCAGATCTCAAAAGCTTGACATTTCCCCCATTGCTCAAAGCCAGAGAGGTTCTCCCCAGAGGCGTTTGTCCAGGGGTGTAACTGTGTCCTTGTGCTTCTCTCCCTCAGATGTGGGTGGGGGTGGGGAGCTTTGCTGTCTGGGAGCCGCCCCCCCCCCGGCCCCCTTGTCGTTATCTAAGTTACAGGTGGAGAGGGGCACATCTGAATGGGTAGCATTTCTAGGAAGAGGAATTGATCCGACCCTCTGCTTTTTCCCTATGCCTTCCCCCAAGCCCTAGTGAAACAAGCCAGCCCCTGACCTGCCAGGCTCTTTGGTTAAGATCAAACCCTCTAAGGGCATAAAAACGTTAAGGCAGTTTGCCACCTCCTCCCCGCAGCTTCCATTTCTACATAATTGGCCGGGATCTTTGGGTAGAGATAGATACGGAACCTTGGATCCCCATGAGCCAGAGATCAGCTCTTCCATCCTCAAGAAACGCACAACGATGCTGGCGAGCTCGAATTTGCTGCAAACAATCGTTCTTAATGTTTAACAGCTGACTGCTGTGTCACCTGGTAGCCCCGAACATTTTCTCGAAGCCTGGTTTAAGAAAGCAGCTATGTGATTCTACCCATAGTGGTCCCCAAAGAGGGAAAGCAGTGGATAATTGAGGTCAAGGGGAGCCGCCGGTTTCCCAAGGTGGCAGGCAAATAAGAACCAAGTGCTAGATGCACATTTTGTATTCAGCTTCTTGAGCCTGTGGGTGAGCCCAGAACCCAGGCCTCCTGCGGCCATGGTGAGGGGCGGGGGGGGGGGGCACAGCTGTAGGAGCCTGCAGGCCCAAAGCTAATCAGAATATATATCTTAGCTTCAGCACCAAATTTTACATTGTTAGGTGTATTTTTTAAATTTGCAGTTACAGGAGTTCTGTTTTGCCACATCCCGTCAGAGCCCTACCTCTACCCTGTCCTGGACGTTGTGTAGGGTTTCTTTAAGGGACAAAGCCTCTGGAAAAAGAAAATTCACTGAAAGCTGTAATGTGAAACCAGCAAAGAGAAAATAAATGTTTGGTTTCGTTGTGGTCACAATCCATACATAGTAAGAGGGGGGGACGAAGGGGTCAGGGAGGTGGAGTTCAGTGATTTCAAGGAGAGTTGCAAACCCAAGTGAGCATGGCAGGGGTGTGGGGTGAAGCTTGCTTTCGGAGCTCCCTCCCATGAAGTTAAAAGTGAGGCTTTAGAGGAAGACCTTAAAAAAAAAAAAAACAGGAAATGACCAAGGAAGTTCTTGAGGGGTTTTCTAGGTTTATATGCCCAGCTTCAAGTCCCTAAACATGTTTTATAGCATAAGTCTGACTTTTTTAATCATATAAGTTCTTTAAAGAAAATATACCCTTGATTTCCCCCGCACCCACCCACCCACCCAAGGAATCCTAACAGGGGCAGCTCTGGCTTAAAGGGGCACATCGGTCCTGGAACTAAAGCTCTCTGTTCACTTTCTCGTGGGCAGAGAGGTTCCCTAGCCCAAAGTGGACCCAGCCGGGTCCACTTTGTCTTTGGGGGATACTCGTGGTTCTTCCTCAGGTGATGCCTGTGGGAGCCTTCGTATTTGTGGGCGCCTGCACATGACTTTCTAAGTCAGCAGAAACACGGACATTTTATTCTGCTCCTTACGGGCGGCCACCCTTACCAGCCAGAAGCCCGCGTACCCGGCACCACAGGAAATGCTCTGGGGAGGCGAAACTCAGGAGCTTCCTCACCAGCTGTGCCCTTGGCCAGGCCGATTGGGTGTTTAGATTGGTGGTTGGTCACATCAGCTAAGGAACATGGAATTGCTAGGAAGCAGTAGATATTTCATCGTCGAGCTGACATGAAAGTCTCTTGCCCTGTAGGAGGAGCTGTGGGTTTATTATCTCCTAGTACATGCAGGATCCCTGCTTCCTCACGCAGTTTTCTTAGGTTTAGCCTCACAAATGAGGGGACTGGTAGGGACAGAGAATTACCACTTAAGGTAGGTGGCATTGCTTAGAAAAGCCATCTGTTCTGCTACCTGCGTTTGAAGGTGTAGGCGGTTGAAGAAGGAGGGGATCAAAATAGGACCTGGTGTTAGAAGCTGGATATTCAGGAAATGAGAAGAGGCCAAGTCGGCTGTTGCTAAGGATCACTTAATAAAAATCAGTTGGAGTTGCTAGAACTTGAAGGACACGGGCTGCCCTGTTAAAACACTCCCCCTAGTGGAGGTTTGGTAGAGCACACCCAAAGCCCCCTTTTGCTCACCAGAGGAAGTGAGTCGGCCTTTCACAGGATTTAGGGTGAGCTCTCCATCACCCACGCTAACTAACTAAGGAAGGGCCCAAGAGTGAGAACAATCTGAGATTAGCATATTTACTTCGGTTTGGTTCCAGAATTCATCACGACTTTTTTTTTTTTAAGATCATCTTAAATATGTTCTACCATGAACTTGAAAACCCATGTTCTTTGGTGAAAGCTATAATAAACTGTAATAATAAAGCTAAGTAGTGAAGAGAAACAGCCTAGAATATACTGGGACAAATAGGAAGTAATCAGAGATCAAGCCTTTTTTTTAAAGAAACTGAGCGTTCTATACTTAAAGACTATACCAAAATTCATTTAATAGACACTCCCTACTGGGATGATTCAAGAAAACGAGTGTACAGTTTTTTTGTAGAATAAAGCCTAGACGTTGGTGTGTATATCTCAGGAGTCCTCTTCTTTAAACTTGTGGATAATGTATAAAAATCATTTATTGATACATTTTATATTCACACCATAAGTATTTGTTTCTTTCTGAAACTTCTTGAGATACTCAAGTAGTGCCTGTCTTAAAAGGCACAATCAGAATAAAACCAATGAAATGTCGTCAGTGGAAGTGTAGATGGTTGTTAGGTGAGCCAAAAGCCCCAGACAGGTGTGACCATGGCAAGGGTAGGACCAGCTCCCTGAATCGATCAGGTGACTCAGACTGATGGGCACAGGTGGACATGGTGATACGTCTGGTCACATACTCGAGGGGCCGGCTTAGGTGCCAGAATCCACTGGCTCAGGCACGGTAATCAGAGATCCGGCATAAGGAGGGAGGTACATCTGACCTGGGTGCCACGAAACCATGGATTTTGTCAGCCCGGTTGTCGCGGGAATTTCTGAGTCCCTGTAGTAATAAATTGGCCACTGGATCAATAATTAAATAGGTCTCAGCAGACAGCTTCATGGTCTTAGCACATAATGAAGAAGTCGTTAAGTCCTCATTCAGCCTGAGTGGAGAGAAGATGGTGCTCCTGATAAGTTCGGCGTCATTGGTGCTGCCTCGGTGCTGTCCCTTAATTAAGGTCATTAAAAACTGGTAGACTTTCCACATTTGGTTTTGCTACGGAGGGTGGACAGGTAGGAACAAACGAAGAGCTAGGAGATGTTTCCACTCACTGCGTGGGGTCCTCACAGCAGCGAGGGAGGCCTACAGGTGTGCATGCATCTCCTTCTCCACCTCGGAACTCTACCGGGGAGTTAGCCGGCAGGCGGGAGCGCGTGTACCATAGCACAGAATACATGCTTGGGGCCATTTTCTGTGAGATGCTCATCAGGTACTATGTTCCGGGAGTGGTCCTGTGTATGTTGCATGTTTATATAATCTCTTTGCACTGGAAAAATAACTTTGACAGCTCCGCTTCCTCAACCTCCCTAGTGCTGCGAGTCTCTGGAATGCACCAACTCTCCTCTCTCGCCGATCCTTCTGTCTGTGCTGCCCTGAGTCGCTCACACCTTCCTGGGGCCTGAGCATCCCTGTGTGTGGCAGTGGAGGGCACCGCTGGGGGCCGGGGGGGGGGGCAGTAGAAGGGGAGGGCCAGAGCTGCGAGAGCAGCTGGTCCTTTAACCCCAACCTGTGTGTATGTGGAGGCTCCTTTTGCCTTTCGTGAACTAACCCCAGGTTCGCCAGGCCTTCCAGGGATGCGAGTGGGAACAAGGGGGGCGTGGGGGTGGCAGGGGGAGAGGCATCCTCGCTGGGCTTGGCATACAGGCTTGGGGGCCGGGTCCAGCCGAGAGTCCCAGTGGGGCTCTTGGAAGGGGCGAATTGGGTGGCGTCGGGCCTCAGCTTGTGCCCCTGTGCTCGCTCCCGCAGATAGCCAGTCGGACGCAGACACGCCAGCGGGGGGGGGCGAAGTGCTGGACCTCACCTCCCGCGAGAAAGAGCAGCCGACGGCCGAGGGCGCCCCTGCGCCTGGCCAGGTCCAGGAGGAGCTCCCCGCAGAGGACGGGCCGCGGGCTGCGGCCGCGCCCCCCGGGGACGGGGCGGAGCAGGGAGCCGGGCAGAGCCCGGAGCGTGAGGACAAGCACGGTGTGGAGGAGAGGGACGAGGACGCGGACGGCCCAGAGGAAGACACCGTCAGCAACAAGAGCCTGGACCTCAACCTCGCCAGCAGGCTGATGGGCTTCAAGCTGGCCGAGGGCGATGCGGGCGCCGCGGGCAGCGGGGGCCCCGCCCCGCAGGACCAGAAGCACGCCTGCGACGTCTGCGGCAAGAGCTTCAAGTTCCAGGGGACCCTGAGCCGCCACAGGAAGGCCCACGGCCGCGAGGAGCCCCGGGAGGACGGCCCGGGCGCCAGCGGAGGAGGGCCCGAGGGCCCGCTGCCCGGCCCCGCCGGGGCCCCCGCGCCCGAGCCGGAGGAGAAGCCGGCCCAGCCCTCGGAGGAGCCCCCGGCGGAGGGGGTGGCCTCGTCGTCGTCGGAGGCGTCGGGGGAGAGGCCGGGCGAGGAGGCGGAGGGCGCCTCGGACGGGGAGAGCGTGGCCGAGAAGAAGTCCTCGGAGAAGAGTGACGACGACAAGAAGCCAAAGACGGACTCCCCGAGAAGCGCAGCCAGCAAGGCAGACAAGAGGAAGAAGGTGTGCAGCGTGTGCAACAAGAGGTTCTGGTCCCTGCAGGACCTGACTCGGCACATGAGGTCCCACACAGGTAAGGGGCGCGGGGGGCCGCTCCGCTGGCGCGGGCTCCCTCGGGCCACCGCGGCCTGGAGGAGGCGCGTCCCCCACACCCCAGGCAGTGAGGCCGAGGCCCTGGTCTGAGCGTGCGCGGGGGCCCGTGAAGCCGCGTGAACTAGGAGTTTAACCGGTGGTTCTCTTCGCAGTTGGAACATCCTAGCTCCCGGCAGGGTCACGGCGGGGCGGCCCCTCAGCAGTGGGCGTTTTGAGAGCATTTTGGTCAGCCCTGTAAGCCACCATCTTCCTAGCTCTAGAACGGGGATGAGGGCTGCCCTGTCCCATAGAAGCATCTAGCACGTGTGGGGGCTGGGCATTTGGGGCCCGTGGTGAGCCTGGGAAGGACTGGGGGATGTGGCCTGGGGAGCGGGGCAGGCGGAAGGCTGGCTGCACATGCGCACAGCAAGGGGCTTGGCCTTTCCCGGCTCTGCGGCAGCCCAGCTGATGTCACTGAACAGGAGCTACGCGGGCATGTCAGGGTGGCCGTGTTCCACGCATGTCCTCACCCCTTCTGGAACTCGCCACCTACAAACCCTGAAGCAGGGGCCATTGCTTGGTAGAAAGGAGGAGACCTGGATGTACTCATAAAGCCAAAAGATTAAACCTATCCCACCCGCCCCCTCCAAAAACTAAACTCGCCTAGGGCCTGCATCTTGGTTTCGGTGTTCCTCCTGTGGCAGCCATGGTGCACACATTGTCCCCGCACGCTCCTCGCCCTGCCGCGTGGGGATTCGGAGGACTCCGAGCTTGGCTCCCAGCAGAGAGAGATTCCAGGGCTCCTGGCAGGTGGTGCTCTCAGCGGCTCTCAGCCCAGTCCTTGTGAGCAGGAGGGAAAGGCCCAGCTGCTCCGTATCCGAACACAGAGTATCTGGTGCCTTCGACTGAGGAGGTGCCACTGTCCTGCACAAGGCGCAGACTTGGCGCCCTGTCCCTGTGAGAGGGGACCCGCTGCTGTCCTCCCCTGAGGTTCTTTTCAGGCCAGTCTGGGTGTCCGTGGGGCTTCCACCTGGGGACCCTGGTGCCTGCATCAGGACGTGAACAACCTAGTTGGAGAGACAGAAGGGAGAGAGAAGCCGAGGCCGGCCCCTTGCATTTCTGCTTCCTTATTTTGCCCCTTCAGACAAACAGGAGGGTTTCCCCTGAGTCGGGGGCGGGGGGTTTGGGGGCAGCGGTCCTGGCCCCTGCTACTTCCTGCTCTCGTGTAGCACGGAGAGCTGGAGGCTGGTGGCCTTACTGTTAACAGACTCGACGTCTTTCTCCCGTCGCTCCAGGAGAAAGGCCATACAAGTGTCAGACCTGCGAGCGAACCTTCACCCTGAAGCACAGCCTGGTTCGCCATCAGCGCGTCCACCAGAAAGCCAGGCACGCCAAGCAGCACGGGAAGGACAGTGACAAGGAGGAGCGGGGTGAGGAGGACAGTGGGAGCGAGTCCACCCACAGCGGCAACAACCCCGTCTCGGAAAACGAGGCCGACTCAGCTCCGCCAGCCAGCAACCACGTGGCTGTCACCCGGAGCCGGAAGGAGAGCCTGGCCAACGCCACCAAGGATCCTGGCCGCAGGGAGGAGCGGGCGGCAGGGCGGACGGCGGGTGCCGGCCAGGCTGAAGCCGGCAGGAGTGCTCCCAAGGCCACTGCAGCGGGCAGCCCCAAGGAGCAGGCGTCTCAGGGTGACCCTGACCCAGAGAGCCCGGCGGCCGTCGTGCAGGACCTGCCAGAGCTGCAAGGCAAGAGGCCCGCCCACCCTATCCTGGCCGCGGACGGTGCCTCGCCACTCCTGGGAATGGAATGACAGCCCGTCGTGTCCCCCCCCCCCCCGCTCCCAGCACACAGACGAAAGCCAGCAGAGCAGAGTGTCCTGAGGTTTCCCCAGTGCCCTTCAGCTGTCGGGGAGTGAGAGAGAGAGAATGAGAAAGACACGAGCAGGAGGGGGCCGTTTTGCCCAGTGCCATAGCCTTATGTCTCTGTGCAGGAGATGCGGCACGCACACCTCCAGTGCCTTAAGTACTCACCAGTCCTTCGGTGTCAGCCTGGGTGTTGTGTTTCCCCAAAATGACTTTTTGAAAAACAAAGCAAATATTTTAATGAATTATTTGGAGAGGACCTTTTCATTTAAGCATTAACGTTACCTTCTGTATTGGTGTGTGTGAGCTTGTTCTTGCGAATCTGTGATAGTAACGTATGTTCTGTGAGCTGGAAACAGAAGGAAAAAAAAAATATGCCCTTGGATACCCATAGCCAATAACTGGAAGAAAATGATGTGAATTTCATGTAAATTACCAGAGGAAATATGGATAAGATGTTCTTTTTTTTTCTCAAATAGACCTTTTTCTTGTTCTGTTTGCTACATGGCGGAGCTGTAATTTGGTCCTCAGTATGGCGGGATGTGGTTGATGAAGGTTTCCAATTTGGTGCCAGCCAAAACCAAGAAAGATTCGAGCTTCAACCTTGTACGTGTTTTCAGCGTTAGACATGGTTATTACTGTTCAAGTTTCGAGACATCCATTCTTAACTTCCAGAGAAGAGTTAACGCTGGCAACTTTAACCTATGGAGAACATGCACAGATGTCCTGTATCTGATTTCCCCCCTTTTGGTATATGTATTATTAATATTATTATTATTATTATTATTATTAGTTCATCAGTTTGCTGGTCTCTGCAGTCAGCAGAAACAAATGGGCAATATTTGTCCAGGGAGACCTGGGCTGCCCCCGGGTCCCCGTGTGGGCATCTGCCCGCAGCTTTCCTTGCCCCCCTCCCCCCTCCCCCCTCCCGGGTGGTAGCTCTTCTACTGTACTTAGACAAGCTTTCTTCCGTGACTGCAGATTCCAGCGGGGGCCGGAGCAGCTCAGAGAGGGGAGAGCAAGGGTGCACGCACCCGAGGCTTCTGAGGAAGCCAGGCAGCGAGGAGACCTGTCCCTCCCCGGTCCTCCTGCCAAACCCGGCCCAAGCCTTACCCGCCTGTGCTACTGTCGTTTGCAAAGCGAGGAAGTACTACTACTACTGGTAATAAAACTGCACACGCAAGATTGGAAGATGAGAAATAGATTTGTATTTACCTTCCTGTGACGTGGGGTTGGTGTTTGCAGCGAAACATGCTGTTTCTAGTGTTCCTGAAATAGCCTGAACCCCTGGGTGCGAAAAGGCAGTTTTTTTTTTTTTTTTTTCCATGAGCATCCCATGCAGGCGATAGAATTCCGTCACTGTAGCCACCAGCAATAACAAGGAACATTTCCCTACTGTAGCTGAGCTCGCGTTCAGCATCCCGTCCCTCAGCCGAGACCTCCAGGGCGCCCGAGCCTTGCGCTGCCAGGGGCCTCCCGTGCTGCTCCACCGGCCAGACTCGCTCGCCTTCCCCTGGCCACCCCTCCTCCCCACATCCCAGCCCCTTCCGCCCCCCTGAATCTCCCCCCTTTGCTCACAGTCGCCAACACAGACACACACACACACACACACACAGATCCTTTTCTCCCCACTTCCTTACCGATTTCTAGATTTCTTGTGGCCAAAATCCCAACTGTCCAGACGTCAAAGGAAGATCTCTATTCTTTTGGGATAACAACGCATGATCTCTTTGCATGTGAAAGGAAAAAGGTTGAGGTATCTATGACTTCTAACTGTATTGGGGCTGTCTGAACCCGAGGTTTGATTTACTCTAGATGAATACAAATCAGAACCAATGATCCCCTGTTATCACTTTATATACCCAGTGTGGTTTGCTTAGTTAAAAAACCAGTTCGTGCATCCCTTCATTTTTTTTTTAATGACGATTGTTATTGTTATTTTTGTTGTTATTATTTGGGGTATCTTGTGTTTTGTTTTTCTCTGCAGCTCTCCACATTAAACGTCGCGACTCTGTGGAGAGAAGCCATGACTTAGCGCGTGGTGAGATGTAGCAGGAATGGGCCCGGCCGTGCGGCCAGGGGCCATAGCTTGCCATAATCACTATTGATTTAAAGCTTTATTTAGCCTCCATCTGTACCCTCGTAGTCGATAAGGTCTTGCCACATTTTATTAGTGAGGTTGAGAAATGTATTATTTGTTTGTCGTTCTGCCTCCCCCCTCTCCCAATATTAAACTGTGAAATTTGTGATTTGTTTAAACTCTGGGTGAATCATAGTTTAGTTTGCATGTCCAGCTAATTTGTTTCTATACATTTTGTTTGATTCTCTTTCTCCTCTCAGGGCTTTTACAAAAAAAAAAAAAATAGTATATATATATATATATCCATATATATATATATATGGATCTTCTGAAAAGTTTTTTTGAGGTGCAAGTGTTTCTCTTGTTTTTCTCTTTGATTTATGGACACAATGCTGAGATTCAATCACTACATGAAACTCCTGGCTGTGAACACAAAATAGAGACCCCGGGGCTGTTTTCCACACAGCCCGGGGGGAAGCTACGTGACAGTCAGATGCCAGTTTCAGAAAAGATGCATCGTACCTTCTTCCACCCTCTTTGTCTCTGTCTTCTCTTCAAGAAGGAAGTTGATCCCAGTGATTTCAGCCCATGCATTAAACAGGAAACAATAATAAACGTGTAGAATTCATATTTTTCTAAAGGGAACTTAACTGCTGCTACGTGTTATGTACAAAACCGGTTTATGCCACATGAACAGAATCACAAGTTTGGTTTTGGTACTTTTGGTTCCTCTTTGTATTCAGTTGTATAGTACTTCCAAATTCAAAATGAGAAGAAAAGCTGTTCTGTATCAAACCATCTAAGCAATAAATGTTGTATTTTAAAAATGGCAAGATTGCCGGGCAGCCAGCCGTCCTGTGATTTGCTGTCATCCCACCAGCTTGTCCGCCCCCCACACCTCAGCCCGCAGGGGCCAGGCCGCCGGCGTCCGGGAGCATGGGGGGGGGGCGGACCGCATGCCTGCTCCACGACTCGGGAGGTGACGAGTCTACTGCTCTAGCCACCGCCGAAGCCAGGGATTGTGTTTTCTGGGCAGCGCCTCCTGGGACGTCCACTCTGCCTTTTCCTCCTCCGACCGGTTAGAAGGGGTTGCATTGCCCCTGGGCGTGGGAGAACCCACGCAGAGGGGAGGTCTAGCATTGTAAAGTTACAGATGGGCAGGTACCCGAATCTTCTAAGCCAGGACTCAAAAAGCATCTCCGGAGGAAGCTGGGTTCAAGGCGAGGTAACTGTAGACAGGGCTTCAAATGCATCAACCGTGCTGTCGGTCTAAGTGCCAGGTCACGGCAAGATGAGTTACAGTGCTCCAGTCTGTAAGGCTTCCAGGGTCCTCTGTTGGGAGCACCTCCCCCCCCCATGCACACACAGCCCTCCCTCACCAGCCCCAGGACACTGGCTGCAATGCTAACCGGCGGTCCTGAACTTGGATTAAATAACTTACTTGCTTATAACTTGGGAATGATCAGAGCATAACTAGACAAGCCTCCCCAGTCGCGGGGGCTGGGTGCCACTGGCCACCAATGAGCAGCATTTACAGCCCCCCTCCCCCACCACCGTGGGGGGAGTCATTTTCCCAGTGGGATTTGGGTTGCACCAGCTCCGTGTGAAGAACAAGGGGGCAGCCCCCGGGGAGTGCGACAGAACAGACCCAAGGGCACAGCCCTGTGGGAAATGCCTCCACCCACCCACCCACCCACCAACGGCCGTGCGTAGAACACAAGCCCCTGGGTCCGGGTTGCTTTGGGAGAAGGCACATAGGAGGTGAAAAGGTGGGATCTATCAAGAGTTGCGCCTGTTGCTTCAGGAGCTTGTCTGGACGGCTGCCTCCACCATGGCCCTGGAGAGCCCGCTCCGGCCCCTGGGGAGCGCTCACTGCACACGCATCTCCAGCGTCCCCTGGTGCCCTCGTCCCCCCACTCACAGGGCGGCAGTCCCATCTCTGTCCTGGGGCTGAGCCTGCTCCAGGCTTACGTGCCTGGCTCCCGGCTCCACGCTGGCTGGATCCCTGCACAGACCCGCAAAGCCCATGTCCCGGGTGGTGGCCAGTTTTCCAGGCCACTGTTCTGGAAAAGGAAGGGAGTTAGCATGTGCAGACTGGATATTTTTTACAGTTTATTTTTTGGCTCCCATAGAAATTTATATAATGAGTTTCACTTAACCATAGTCTGTTTATTAGGGAAAAAGTTGGGTGTGGGTTTTCTCTTGTGTCTTCAGAGAATCCCGGTCCAGCACAGGTAGCCCTCAGGTACATACCAAAGGCTGTTGTCACCAGAGGCCCAGCTCCTCGTGTTTCAACCCTCTTCTGGACGTTTACTTTCCCTATTGGAAGGGGGAATGAAAGGAACTTAGTTTACAATCAGTTTCAGAGGGGCGCCTGGGTGGCTCAGTCGGTTAGGCGTCTGCCTTCGGCTCAGGTCATGATCCCAGGGTCCTGGGATCGAGCCCGATGGGCTCCCTGCTCAGCGGGAAGCCTGCTTCCCCCTCTCTCTCTGCAGCTACCGCCCCCCCCCAGTTGTGCTCTCTATTGCTCTCTCCCAAATAAATAAATAAAATCCTTAAAAATAAAATCAGTTTCACTTTTGTAGTTGTCCAAACGTGGCTGAGGCCTGAGTGTTTTAGCTGTCCGTCCCTCCCCGGGATCCGGGGAACACTGATTATTCATTTATTCAACAAAGCTGTTTCCTTGGCAGCCACTGTATGCCCGGCACTGTCCTGGGTACGGGGAATACAGCAGGAACAAAACAGATCTCTTTCCGTGTGGAACTTGGGTTTTAACAGTGGCAGACAATACACAGACTAGCGGAGGAGGATGCAGAGTTAATGCAAGTCTGAGGGGAAGAGGAGGCCATGGGGGTTGGGGCCAGGAGG